CAAGAAGTTACCTTAGCAAACATGTATGCACCTAAGAGAGTTTTACAAAGAAATAGAAGTCAAAAAAGGTTATGTGATAATGGCAGGTAATTATGATGGTGGATAGTGGAATTGACAAATCCAATCCATCAAAAGCGGAAATAAAGTATAATAATACAGATTTAAGAAAATGTATTAATAAAAATAGACTGACATGTCTGGAGAGAACTACATGGTAATTAAAAGAGTTATGTTTTTCTGGTAGACATAAAAAAATTACAAGAATAGACTATATATTTGTAACACTGGAAATATAATCTAAAATAATGAGAACAGAGATAAAATTAATTAAAATATCTGATCATGCAATGGTAACTATGGATATGGAAACAGATTGTGATTATAAACAGGCAAGTAGATGGAGAATGGATTTGAGAATTTTTAAAAATAAAGAGTTTTTAGAAAAAATGGAAAGGGAATCAAAAGAAATATTGACTATAAATGAAGAGGGAGATAGTAATATAGGTGTAATATGGGATGCAATGAAAGTAGTGCGAGGTTTAGGGATAAAATACTCTTACACTATGAAAAACAAAAAAATATAAAGTGTTTGGAGGCGGAAATTAGGGAACTAGAGAGTAAATATATAGAAAGTAGAGAGAATAGGATTATGTTAGAACCATCAGCTAAAAGAAAGAGTTGCAAAATATTGAGATAGAACAGGTTCAGAAAACCTAATTTACTTAGATAGGGAATTTTATAAAAACAGTAATAAAAATTCTAGACTGCTGGCTAGAGCCACACAAGCTCAAAAGCAAAAAGCCTGATTGGAGTAATAAAGAACGACAAGGAGGAAAGATGTTATATGATGAGAAATAAACTATTAATATTTCAGAAGTTCTTTGAAAAGCTATAAAAGGCTTGGAAATCCAATTGACACCAAGATGTGTAACTATAAAGGAGGATAATTACTATAAGTTGAAAAAACAAATAGAAACAGATCTGGAAAAATGGAGAAACTTACAATTATCACTAATGGGAAGAATAGTAGTAATAAAGATAATTATATTACCAAGAATTTTGTTTCTATTTCAAACAATACCAATAAAGCTAGAGAAAAGATATCTTGAAAATATGAATAAAATAGTGTGGAAATATATATGGCAAGGGAAAAAAGCAAGAATTAATATAAAAATGATGCAAGACTCAAGAACCCGAGGTGGGTATATATTACCAATTGGGAATTATATTATCAGGTGTCAGCTTTAACTTGGATGAAAGAACAGATTTTATTGAAAAATACAAGATTATTGACTTTGGAGGGACATGACTTACAACTAGGCTGGCACGCATTTTTGTGGTATGATAAAAATAAGATGCATGGTTATTTTCAGAGACATTATGTAAGAAATGGATTAACAGTGTGGGAAAAAGTGAAAGAAAAACACTATTTAAAAATACCAGTGTGGCTTTCAACAATAGAAGCATTGACACATCCGAATATTAGTAGTATGAGAAATATTATTAGAATTATTATTATCAGAAAGGGGAAAATTAAAACAAAAACAGGAACTAGAAGAACAAGGGATTGATATATGTTAGTTCTCACAATTGCAAATACAATCAAGATATGAAAAAGATAAGAGAGTATGGTTTTAATTTGGGAAGCTCAGAGCTGGATAAGATACTCATGGAAACAGAAGAAGAAATGATCAAGAAATTATACAACTATCTATTAAGAATCAGATTGGAAGAAGAGGTTAATGAAACAATGATAGCATGGGCAAAAAAAATTGGTTATACGATTGAGCTAGAAAAATGGCAACCATTATGGAAAAGGAATTATAAATTAACTATGTCATCAGCATATAAATAACACTTGTATAAAATGTTTTATACATGGCACATGCCACCAGAAAGATTAGCAAAGATATTTAAAGGTAAATCAGAGAAATGTCAACAACTTCCAGCTTCATATTATCACATATGGTAGACATGTGCAGAAGCAAAGAATTATTGGATTAAAATAAGAACTTGGTTAAAAAAAAGTTACATCGAAGTATAGAGTTAAGACCAGAGATATTTTTATTGAGTATATTACCAGAGAAATATCATAAAGAAGATACATATTTGATCATACACATAACAATGGCAGTGAAAATTGTATTTGCATAAAATTGGAAAGCAGATAAGATCCCTTTGGAAGAGAGATAATAAAAAAAAATCTTGGACTGTGCAGAAATGAATAAGTTAACTCTGAGAATAAAGGATAAAGAGGAATCGCTGTACTTCAAAACGTGGGGAAGATTTTATGATTGGTTAGAGAAAAAATATGAATAAGAATATGGAAAAGAAAGCAAGAGAGAGAAATAGAAACTCAGATGATACACTATTAAATGAAAAGGGGGGGGAAACAGGGGGAAAATAGAGAAGCAGTAAAGTACTAATATATAAGTATACGTCCAAAGAATGAGACATCGGTAAAAACAGATTGTAAAATATAATGAGGAAAAGGGAATGTAAAATGTAAGGTGACCAGATGTCCCACTTTTCGCAGGATAGTCACACTTTTTCACAATTTTTCCTGTGTCCCACGACGTTTTTAAAAAGTCCCGATTTTCATGGGTGAGTGGACAAAAGGGCATCGGCAGTGCAGCCAGGACCCGCTGTGCGAGGGCAAGGGAAGAGCAGGGTGGGGCCTGAGGGAAGCCGGAGGGAGGGGGCTCGGAGGGAGGGGGAGCCAAGATGGCGGTGGCTGAGGAGGAGGAGGTCTTGCGGCTACTGCTGCCACTGCCACCACCAAGGAATTGCAGGATGATAGTCGCTGTGCGCCAGGAGGACAGCCTGTGGGGCTGGAGGCTGCGTGGCAGATACGCGCTGCCGAGCGCTAACAGGAGTCGCGGGACGGTCTGGCCGAGCAGCCTCACGTACGCAGCTCGCCTTGCTGCCTGATGGAGGCTGCCCAGCTGCTGGCGCTGCTGCACCTCTGCGCAGATTGCAGCAGGGATGGCTGCCGATTGCAGCCCGATTGCGCCAGGGGCTGCGCTGGTGGGGACAGGCAGGGGGGATGGGACTTGGAGTCCTACGATCTTGGTGAGTGGGGATTCCTGCAATGGGATTTGGAGTCCGATGCCCCTGGTGATTGGGGGTTCCGCTGATTGGAAGAAAGTCCTTCTTCGCGTCAAGCGCTTTTCCCTCCCAACCGCACCCCTCTCACATTCTTCTGCCCACTGGACCAATGGGGGCCCGGGGTAGGCGGAGCCTGGCGAGCCTCCCGGGCCGAGAAATTGGAAGGAGCGAAGTTGTGAACGCTCCAAGGAGTGAGTAAAGTGCTGTGTTCGGATGAAGTAGCAGCACATGATTGGAGCGGGAAGAGGGGCTGAGTTGGGGCATTCTCGGCATCCCCCGGGTGGCTTCCCCATCTCCTCTCCTATGGGGAGGCGTGCATCATAATGTTGTAAGCTGCCCGGAGTTACCTGTGTGTGAGGTGGGCTGCCCTATGCATTTGTGTGTGTGCGCTGGAGAGAGAGTGAAAAAGAGAGGGAGAAATAATTATATTAATTAGATAGATCATTGTTTCTCCACCTTGGAGACTTGAAAGTGTGTGGACTTCAACTCCCAGAATTCTGGTGTATTAGCATTAGATGTATTTAGGGCCTTTGATTGTGTGGAATGGCCTACATTAAAGATATTAATACAGAAGTTAGGTTTTTTGAGGGGGGGATTAGACATGTGATAAATCAACTATATTCAGAGAATAAAGTGAGTATAGCCATAAGTGATGGTATTATAGAAACAGTAAGTTTAGAGAGAGCTGATGTTGTGACGGCATGATGTGCGATCTTTGTGCTCTGAGATCACAGTCAAATTTCTGCCGCTGGATGGTCCATTTGGACCTAAACCGCATGGTGATTGAGAAGGGCATCTCCTGCTGATCTCAGGGACACCGCTAAGTCCCTGAAAGATCCAGGAATAGCCTTTTTTCCGGCAACAGAAATGCAGTTAATGAAGCTGCTGAAGTTGGAACAGCTCCGGAACGGGAAGAAAGCGGAAAGAGAAAGTGTGTCAAATTGGTGCAGAAATTTTATTATTACAGGAAGAGACTATCCTAGAAAAAAAATTAAGTTGTTAAGATTGAAGACAGAAGACTGTAGGCGGCAAGATTGATCTGCATTGAATTTAGTGTGTTATCCAGTTTCTAATTTCTTTTTTTTTTCACTGATGGAACTTTTGCAGGGGCTCCCTATTTTTTAAACTGAATGGATTGATTCTTTCTTCTTTTTTCACTTTTGCTTATACCTATAGATTAAAATTCTCCTTTTTTTTATAATGGTTCAGTTGATTGATCGGATTGTTTTTGATCTCCATTTAAGGTTTTTGTTTTCTTTCTTAAGCTTGGAATATAAAGAAGAAAATAAAGATTATAAAGAGGGCTGTAACAACAGGAGGAAAAGCAGTTACACTACCACTTAGAGGCTGGATACATTGTTTTTTCTTCTTATTCTTTGATCACTTGAGATTCAAGGTTCTTT